ATATATATACATATATGTATGTATCATGACATTTTATCAATGATTTGCTGTAGAAAATATTTTAATATTTTACAAAATATATATATGCATATTTATAACTTTTTTTTTACTTTATATGCAATATATCTTTATTTACGAAACTTTAATTTAAAGAAAATTATATTTAAAATAATAAATATGTATGAAAGAAAAATATGTAATATGTAATAATAATAATAATAATAATAATACAAACATATATTATAATTCAAAATGTTTGTAAATTTAAGAAATGAATATGCGACGAGATATGTATGCATGTATATCAAAAAGTTAGTACACTTATATAAAGCATTTATGAACATACCTTTTCAGCAATTAGTATAAACAAATAACCCATATATAAGTGTTAGTGCAAGCAACTACAGAGTTAGCTTTACGTACATAAATGAAATTATATACATTCAATAGTTATATAGCTACAGTAACAATACAACAGGAAACTCTTCCAGAACTCATATCATATGGTATGAGTAATTTTTGCATGTATTAATTATTATAAAAGAAATAAGTGATTTGCAAGCAAAATACGAAAATAAAAAAATATAAAAAAAATGAAACAATAATAGAAACTTGTGAATTTGCTTTAGTAAATAGTTGTTGCTGGTTGTAGCTGTAGTTGCTGTTGTTGTTGTTGCTGTTGTTGCTTATTGCTGTTGCTGTAGTTGCAATAGGTGGTAGTGGAGGAGGTACAACACAATACGAACAATACGAGCAGTACGAGCAATACGAGAGTGTAGAAAAAGCTAGTGGACCAACCATTTTCCATGTCGAGCGGCGGTCCGCCTACGGCCTGTCCCATGCGGGGATCGCTGACCGTGAAGTAGATCTCTTGACGCACGCCGGCGGGAATGGCGCCCGGCGGTATCTGGAGCGAGACATGCCACAGCTTGTCCGCCAGCGTGCCACCGCTGCTATCGAAGAAGCCGCGCGTGGTGCTCGGCTCGCGCGGCAGACTGGGAAAGGGACCCGCATTGCCATTGCCATTGCCATTGGCTGGCACTGGACCCGCAATCGGGAGCGACATGCTGCTGCTGAAGGGCGTGCTGGTGGCATTTGGAGGTCCCACCGGGAGACTAGCCTGCGAGGTGTACTGCGTCTCAATGGAGGTGCAGCTGTCGGCTCTGGGCGAACTGGGCGGCGGCGCTGTTCTCTTCAAGATGTTGGAAATGTGGAAGGGCGCACGCAGAGCACGCGGCGAGGCGACACCGATGGCAGCGTGATCCGCCGCCTGGGGCAGCGGGGTGACCTGATCGGCGGCCTCGAACACATCATCCGACATGTTCTGTTGCGTCTCGCTGGCCAACATGCCCTCGTTGTGCTGGTTGCTCTCAATGGCCGTGGGTGGCTCTGTGGGCTCTGCTGAGGAGTCTGCCTCGTTCGCCTCTTCGTCCGCGTCGATTTCGTCTTGCACCAGCGGCGCTTGACCCGCTCCGGCAGTCAATGTATTCTCAATGACCGTGTCCGAGGACTTCTGCAGGTCCGAGCGACTCAACGTGCTATCCGGCGCCTCCTCCGGCTGTGCATTGATCTCGACCTGCACCTGCTCCGTCTTACACTCCTTCTCCTTCTTCTCATCCGTTTCGTTCTCACGGGATTGCATGATGCTCTCCTCGCGCGTCTCGTAAATGGGCGCCGGCCGTCCCACGTCCCGCTTGCTCACATAGATGGGCTCAGCCATGCTGTCCAATGCCTCGCGCCGCGTCTGATAGATCTGCTCCCGTAGCTGACTGCGCGTCGCCTCCCGCCTCGAGTGATAGTTGCCATCGCCGGAACGCTCGGAGCGATCGTCGCTGCGCTCGGACTGGCTGCTGCTCTGCGCACTCAGCTCCCGTTCCATGTCCCGCTTGCCCTGAATGATCCGCTCCTGCATCTCTCGCTTCGACTGATACAGATGGTTGCGCTGCATTTCGCGCTGCATTTCCCGTCGCGACTGATACATGGGCTCCACTGGCTCCTCGCCCTGCTCATTGGCGGCGCCCGGATAGAAGCGACGTCGTGTCATGACCTCTGAGTTGGGCGCCCGCCGCTGCTCGGGCATCATGTACGCCCCCTGGCGGGTCTGGTAAATGTCGTGCGCCTGTTGCTGTTCGTAGCCGTTGCCGGGATGCTGCGGCATGTGGCGTCGGCCGGAAGCTGCTGCACCCCCGCGGTCTGCCGTCGTGGTGCTGTGCCGGCGTACAATGCGTCGTCCGCTCCGCCCGCTCACTGCAGCGGCCTCTGCCTGGCGCCGCTCCAGGTCAATGCAAGCGCGATTCGCATACAGATCGTACTGTTCATAGCTGCCGTAGCCGTTGTCCGGCGGCTGCTGCTGCTGCTGCGGCATGCGGTGCACTGGACCGGCAATATTGCCATAGATATCCTCACTCTCCAGGTTCTGGTACGTGCTGTTCATCATCTCCTGCTGCGGATAGTGCGTGCGATAGTACGGATCGCCTGGCGGCGGCAGCGGTGGTCGCTCCTCAAAGCCCGCCGGATAAGTGGGATACTCGTCCGGGTAGTAGGGCCGCTGTACGCCACGCTCCAGCATCGATTGCTGTCGCCGCAGTCCCTTCGGCTTGCGCTCCGGCTCCACCATGCTGTTCATGCGACGCAGCGGGCGCGTTGTCTTGATCAGCGCATTCTTCAGCGCTGCCAGCGGACTCTTCAGCACCGACTTCTTCTTCTTGTGCGGCGGCAGGGGCGGCGGCTGAGCCAGCTCCATGCCCTGATCGTCGTAGTAGGGCTGCATTTCGTGGCCTCTGTAGCCACGACTGCCTGTACCGTAGTGGCTGTAGTAGTTGGGATCTTGGGCGTGCGGTGGCCGCTCATTGGGATATCGGGGAGCGGATCGGGAGCGTTGCATTTGATGCGGATACGGCTGGGAGTGCCGGTGCGGGTGCGGGTGACCCGGTGCTGCTGGTGGCGGCATGGCATAATAATCATCATAGCGCGCATCGTACGGCTCCATTTCGCTAGAGTTTTTGAATGGTTTTTATGGGGGTTAGCAGAAAGTTTTTGTTTATTTAGGGATAAACCTGGTTATGGAAACTAAGGAATGGTTCTTCAATAAGAGAGAATCGCTTTCGAGGTGGCCCATAAAACATTTGCATTCGGTTTATAAGCCAGCATTTCTACATTTGTCTCTAAGAATGTTCCGAATGCCCTGAAAACTCGCGACTTTCGCGACTTTCTGCAAATCTTTCGCAAAAAACACACACAAGCGCATATCAAAAGGTTCATAAATATATACTTAAATAAGTAAAATAAATACTTATTAGATTTTGCAAAATAACCAAATTTGTAGATATTTTGTTCATAAATGTAACCATTTACCATGTTTATGTATTAAACTCAAGCAACGTTTATGAGAGTACTAAAAGTCAATTAGTAGTTAGTTTTTTTGTTGTTGTTGTTGTTTTTTTTTAAAGCTTAATCATTATTTTATGTAGTATTTAATTAATTGAACCCAAAACCTTCTTGAAAGTCTATAGAAAATAGTTCAGAATGGAGAAATACTCGCAGCATGAGTATAAATTATGATAAAGTGTATGTAAAGAGAGAAAATGTCTAGCATAAGATAGTGGATACTACGTAGAACTGTATTTGGTAAAAAGTTAACCCGAAAAATGTTTTATTTTCGTTATTTTTTTCGTATTTTTTTCTTTTTTGATTTTCAAGTTTCTCTTTGAATCAGCACATGTGATTAAATCTTGGAATTTTTGGTTAATAATTTTGGTTATTGCAAAATACAATAATTATTTATTCATCTCTAGTTCAAATCGAATAAGAATTTGACTTTCGGATTTATGCGAGTTTTTTGTGCGTTTTGTGAAAAATTGCGAATTGTTTATGTAAATTTTCTTTTTTTTTACTTTTTCTTTTAAACATAATGACCAGCAACCGCATGATTATGAATATATATTGGCAGTATGAGAGCTTTGACTGACTGATTGATTGATTGATTGTGGTAACAATTGTAAATTACAAAATGACATATAACAAAAATAAAAACATTTTTCGTTAACAGAAATGTGGAGCTGTTGAACAGTGTACAGAGTACAGAGAACAAGTTGTGTAAAGTTTTATATTGGACTAGATCTCAAGGAATCTCCACACTCACACACACACACACACACTCACTCATTCAGGCATAAACTCACACACACAAAGTTAGCCAAACTGGCTTTAGAAATTCTCAATCTGTTTTGTGATTCAGTTTCTTTTTGGGTTGGGTTCGGTTGGGTTGGGTTGGGAATGTAGTTGGACACACACGGCATCTGCACTCACCTCATGTTGTGATGGTGCCCCACAGCGGCGCCAATCTGCGGCTTACGATACAATTCGAAGGCGGAGCCTCGCTGCTCCCGACTGCCAGCCAAATCGAGTGCATGACGTTCAGGTGTGTGTGGTGGAATATTACCTGCGGCCATAATAAAATTCCAAATTAGTTGTGGAAATTTATAAATACACTATGTAAGATAAACACGTTATATTTGAAAATTTAATTTAATTTTAAAAATATTATTAATATGTATATTATACACTATTATTAATTTATCCTGGCGTAAAGAAAGAGTGTTCAATATTTTGCCTACAAATATGGAGTAACTCAAGTTAGTTCATGTAAGTTAGTTAAAATGTAATTATTTATTAGACATGAAAATTATAATTAGCTAAATTTAATTAAAATT